CTTTATAGCAAAAGAAGAACTATCGCTTTGCCTATACCCAAAAATAATTCAATTAGAAGAGAAACATGGTGTAGTTTTTGGTCAGGCTTATAAAAACGAAAACACATGCGGAGTATTTATTGACTACATTGCTCTTAGTTTAGCGATAGATCTCAAAAATAAACTAAATACTCGAAATTTTTTCACTATTTTAATTGACGGTTCTAACGACGTTTCAATTAAGGAAAAAGAAGCTATATTTGCCGTTACTTTTAATCCGGCTCCAACTGGAAAATCTGAAGTAAACGTTGAATGTGATTTTCTTTCACTTTTGGATGTTGAGTATGGAACTTCGCACGGAGTTTTCAACACCATAAAAAAGTCACTCGAGAATATAGAAGTCGTAAATTGCAATAAAAAACTAGTTGGATTTGGTGCGGATGGCGCATCCGTTAACAGAGGGAGCAAGTCGGGCGTTAAAATGTTGCTCAAGGCTGAAGTCCCCTGGATCACGTTTGGCTGGTGTGTAGCACATCGTCTCGAGTTATCATTAAAAGAAAAATTAGGAAAAACAGCCTCATTCAATGACGTTGATTACATGATTTTAAAAATGCATTACATTTACAAAAAATCCCCCAAAAAGTTAAGACAGTTGGATGAACTCGTTTCTATTTTAGAAGATGATGAATATAACATTGGTGGTTACCGACCTAAGAAAGCCTCCGGTATTTTCTTTTTTTTGCTTGATTTATTTATCTTATATTTATTACCATTACAGTTATGCGTGACGCCTATATTTTTAGTTTTTGCAAGTATAAAGTAAATTATAAATTGTATAATCTTGTTTCATTTTTAGGTACACGATGGATTTCACATAAAGTTCAGGCTTTAGAAATGATTTTAGATAAATACGGTGTTTATTTAACACATCTGGAAAATATGACTAAAGATATAACATTTACCAATGCTGAAAGAGCTAAGTTTAAAGGATACCACAAAAAGTGGATTCATGCTAGAATGCCCCTTTATATCGCGTTGTTTATTGAGATTTTAGCACCAGCAAAGATGTTGTCAAAATGTTTTCAAAGTGATGAGATTGATGTGTTGGCTTCATCAGGGTTTGTTCAACAAGCTAAAAGCCATTTAAATCGTATTCAAAAAACAAAGTTTATTAATTTGCCAACAGTAAAACGTTTTCTCGCCAAAGTGACTGAAAAAGAAGGAAAGTTTTATTTCCAGGGTGTTGCACTTAACGACTTTGTAAATGCTAAACATTTAGTAAAAAAGTCTAAATCTATTCATATCGAGTTGGTAACAAATTCAATCATAGAGCATTTGGAAACAGACAATACTATTACTGATATGTATGGTACAAAAGTTTTAAATACAGAAGGTTGGCTTCAAAGTATTGAAAATGAAACATTCCTGGATGAAGGAATAGAAAATCTTTTTGACTTTTATAGAGCGCCGTTGCGACATGCTGGTTTTGCAGGAACTGTAAATGATGTTTTGGATGCTTGGCATAGCTTGGTAAACTACACTGTAAAATATTTAGCACCACATAATACCGGTTATCGTAAGTTATGGCATCAAATTTTTTCTAGCTCAATGAAAAATGAATGGGTTCTGGTTTTACTTATTGTCGAACTATTATTTACTTTGCCTGTTTCTAATGCGAAAGTATTAGAAACAGGCAAAGTATTAGAAGGATGCAGTTTTATCCCAAATATCAGTAATAGATTCATTAGCTAAACCACGTCGAATAGTAGGCCATTTTAATCATTCATTAAAGAGATGTACAGAATTTAAGTTACTGCAACAACAAAAAAATGAAAGCACACCTCTACTTTTGGTTCAAGATGTGCCTACTCGCTTGACTAGTGCGTACTTAATGTTAGAGCGAATTCAAAAACTTGAAAGAGCAGTTCAAATGTATTTAGCGGATCATAATGAATTGCCAACACCTGCATCAAATGATTGGAAAATCATCGAAAATTTATTATGTTTTAAAGCCTTTTTTCACTAATGAATAGAGTAAAAACGGATACAAGAAACTCTCTGAAAGAGAAACGTTTAGAAAATTTAATTCGAGTAAGTTTCGATGAAAAAGATTCCAATTTATTTGATTTAAGTTCTGCTATCGAGTTATGGACCAATGATGCCGTGCGAAGGCCAAAACAATCAGTAAGAAAATGCTATTCCAAAAGAGCAAAAAAAGCAGGATTAAAAACATTAATCGACTTGGATTCATCATCTAACGAATCAAGTAATGAATAGCGCAAAACGAGATTATTTTTTCTCACCTTTTTTTAGTTTAAAAAAGTTTTAATAATCAAATATTGGTTAAAAAGTTCATTACCTTTTTATTCTGTCATTTTTGTTAAAAAACGATCATTATATAAAAAACAATTGTTCGAGTCACATAAAATATTTTTACGTCACTTAAAAGGCAACGCGTTGAAGTGAAAAAGTGAATTAAGAGCTAAGTTTAAAAGTAAAAACTATAAACGATAACGCGGACATACGCTGTTGTATGCAAAAACCAATAGCGTTCAGCTAGTGTTCTAAAAATAGATTTTTTTAGTACTAAAAGGCATTAAGGTAAAGATATTTTAGAAAATTGCACAAAATCAATAGAATTTTCTAAAAACACAATTTATTGTAGGTTGATAGTGGTAAAACAAACAATTTGACGTCACCTAAACTGTACGCTATTAAAGAAAAAGTTAAGAAAAATTTGTTCGTCTGGATAATTTTTTGATCGTCTACTTTATTACTTTTATTATTTCTGCCGATCAGTGTTGATCGGCAACCTTCAAATAATTATTTCGAGCGCTGTATATATATATATTTAAGAATTTTTTGAGAAAATTTTTTTAAGGGGTTGCTAATGAAGTTAAATAAAAATTTCAAAAATAATTATAACTTTTATAGAAAAAATATTATTTTACATTTTATTGCATAATATTTTTATTGCATATATAAAAACCTATGGTTTTTTAACTAAAAATTAAAAAGGAACTATTAACAAGTTTTTTGATAATAATTTGTTTTTAATTTTTTTTTTCATAAAAAATAATTAAAATTTTTAAGATTTTCATTTAATTTTGCTTCTTTTGAGTAACGGGTTGTAATCTTTTAAAGTTTTTTTTTTAATAGTATGAGGGACCCGACCAATGTTTAAGGGTCTTGAGCAACCCTTAAAAAATTTTCTTTCTCAAAAAATTTGTAGACCTAGTGTTTTTGTGTTATATAGAACACATTTAGAGAGTGTGAGCAGATTTTTTCAAAAATCTTTTTTCTAAAGGCCACTCTAGTATATCTATACATTTTTTTAAAGGCCACCCTAGTATATCTATACATTTTTTTAAAGGCCACCCTAGTATATCTATACATTTTTTTAAAGGCCACCCTAGTATATCTATACATTTTTTTAAAGGCTACCCTAGTATATCTATACATTTTTTTAAAAGCTACCCTAGTATATCTATACATTTTTCTGGTAAATATAATAAATCTTAAACTGGCTTTATCTTTAGTAAAATTAAAAGCACTTTAAAAACACACACATAAATTAAGAGTTTTAGTTTTAATTCTATGAAGTCAAATTACGACTCAAGAAGATATTTTTGACAAATAATTATGTTGTTCTCAATATTTCATTTGCCTAAACAAATTAAAAGTTCCATTTGACCCAAAAAAAAAATTATTTGCTTACAAAAAAAATTGAATTTTGTCCACAAAAAATTATTAATATGTAAAATAAACTCCATTAACTTAAAAAAAATATTTTTATATTATTAGTAGCAGTAAGGGTACATAAAGACAACACTAAGGCATCGCAAAGAATGCAAGAACCTTGGTCAGATCAACATACAAATACAAAGAACTAAATGCAAATTCATTAAAGGATACTGGACAAATATGAAACCATTCTGCTACTATCGCCAATCATAACCAAAACTTTCTTTTAAGTTCAATCTTAGTAAAGAAACTGAAACTCCTCTTGCTACAGAATAGTTTTCAATAATTCTAGCATCGATATTAGAAGTTATTTTAATGAAATGCTATTAAAAGTTACTTTCAGACTAGCTAAGTAACAATGATAAGCTTGTGCTGATGTCCAAAATTTTTCAAACTGAAAAGACTTCAAATTTTTAACATGCATAAAACTATAAATAAACTTGCAGAAAAGGAAAAATTCTTGAGCTCATAAAATTTTTTTTAGTGATAATTCTGTAACTAATGATAATTAATTCTGATAGTTAATGGTTAAAATGTGCTGTTTATTGTTTGAATCATTCAAACAGATAAGTTAATAATAACTTAAATCAAAAAGAAAATTAAATCTTTTTTTAAAAAAGTTATTTTGTACTTAACTTTTTTGTATCTAAATTTAATATTTTCAAAAATTAAAAGCCAACACACTATATTTAAAATGATAGAATAGTGAAAGAAAGCATTATACTTACTCCATAAAACTACAGTAGCGAGCAAAAGTTTAGAAACACCTACTTTTTTTCAGTTTTTAACGCATAACTTTTCACAAACATTCTCAAATAACCCGAAATTTTTACAGAATGAGCTCTATATTATTACAATTCAAAACCCATTTCAAAAAATTTTCAGAACTCACCGGTCAATTAGTTTTAATTGTTTTTTTGAAAAGCACTTATATCAGGTTTTTGTAAACAAAAGCATTATAAAAGGTCAAATTTTTTCTGAAATTTATTAATTGAATTAACTTGAGATAATTCAAAAGCAATGAAGTATAACTAATTGAGAAATTATTTGTGACGTTTTATAATTCAATTAGGTAGTGATATTTTAAAAGCATGGGAAAGGCTAAGGAAGTTTTAGATGAAATAAAGAAATTAATTATAAAAGCTGTGGGGAAAAAAATGACTTACAAAAGGATTTCTGAACTTTACAATGTTTACAGAGCCATTTACAACCAGTTTCAGTTAGAAATTGTTTATATGGCAAAGCAAAAAAAATTAGAAAACAAAATAATTACATACTCTTATGAAAACAGACAGTTTTTTATTAATCAGATATTTTCCTTCAGAAATTTTTTCGACAGCAACATTGTATTTTCTGGCACAGCGCTGCACCTAATAAATAGAAAAAAGTATTAATTCATTTTCAGTTTCTTTTTCTTATTAATTCACTATCTATTCAGTCACTTATGCTAGGTAAAAAATAAAATAAAGAAAATTATTTATGTATAAACTCTGGAAGAAATGCCAACAAATAAATTAGTTTTTTTAAATAAGTATAAACAAGAATATCACATAATATCAAGGATATTACATGAGTAAAGTAACATTATTATTGTACTACAATTATAACTTTCAACTTCAAGTACAGCAACAAATAAATATTAAATAAATAAAATTATTGCAAAAGTTTAATATATTTATAACAATACTTAGTCTCTCCTGTTCAAGTTACTCAAATTTTACTATTAATATTTTTTCTTCTAAAACTACCAACTAAGGTTTCCAATACCTGTATTGATAACCAGTAAATCCAATAAAAATGGATAATTTTGTTATTGGTAATTAAATCGATAATAACCCAGTCTTTCACAGGAAGACGTGCAATCGCACGTCTTTATATGACCAAACAAACTACATTTTGCTATGATGATTTGAATGCGGCAATTTCAAAAAACGTTTTAAGGTGCTTAATGAATATTCTGAAAAAATGAAATTAATTACATCAAAACTTCTTAACAAATCTTTTTATATTAGCGAAACCCTTTTAAATAAAGTAACAATTTACTGATAATGATTGTTTTTTTAATTATAATTGACAGTTGTATATATTTTTTTAATTTATAATATATAAAATGTTTAAGTGTGCATTGTGCATGTTTTGTTTTTATAAACGATGACATTCTACGACAACGAAAGTCTCTTTAACAAATTTTAATATAAGAATAATTAAAGTTAATATATTTAAAAAGATAAACAAAATTTTTTTGAAAAAAAAAAGACAAATGTTTTAAAAAGCTGTTACAGTTAAATAAGTTTGATTTTAAATGCTTTTATATTATCAAAACGCTTTTTAATCAAGTAACAAAACGCTTCTAACTCATTTTTAAAATAAGTATTAATAAACTGTTTTTTTTATTTATTTATAAAACTATGTATTAATTATGAAAAATGTTTATCTTTTGAAAGATATTAAATAAAAAAAAAAACAAAATATAAATGTTAAAACAAAGATTGAAATGGTTTTTTAATGCATAAATTAAATAGATGAAGCATTTTAGTTTGATAACTTTTGTTTTAGTAGGGTTTTATATATATATATATATATATATATATATATATATATATATATATATATATATATATATATATATATATATATATATATATATATATATATATATATATATATATATTGTGTTTTTATTTTAATTAAGTATTTTTTTTAATTTCTCTTTTGCTAAGATTTTTTTTTCTTTTTTAAAGTTTTTTTTAGATAAGTTGGGTAAGATTTTTGTAGTGCATTTTTAAATTTTAAAAATGTCAAAAACGTGGTCAAATACTCAAGTCTTCTTGTGAAAGACTGTAACTAGTGAACTTGGCAAAAAAAAAAAAATTACAACTAATCTAAAAACTACAATCTGTAAATAAGTAACCACACTTATTAAAAAATGCAAACACTTCACAAATGTTTTTTTTTATAACTGAAAGTAAAATTTAAAAAATGGTAAAAACCCTAACCCAAGCTATAAGAACTAAAAAGTTACATGAAAAAAGCTATTAAAGAGATTCTTGGTAAACAAAATATACATGAAAAAGTCTTACCAAGTATGATTACTGTAGACAACACACAGATCTCTGATGTAAAATTGGTGGCAATAAAATTTAACAAGTTTTTGTTAATACAGGTCCAAACTTAGCCAATAAAAATAAACAAACTCCTGCACATTTTTCGAACTATCTAATGAAGTCTGATAAAAACTTACCATTTAAAAAACTTGAGTTATCAAAAATATCAAAATAATTCAGAAAATGATTACATCTTATGATTTAAAGATTAGTTAAGATTTTTTTTTTTAAACATCTTTGCTTCCAACAAGGCTGCAAGCTTAGTTTCTCCGCGCAGCGGCCTTGCTTGTCAAGGTTCGTGTTTCGGAGTTAAAGAGTTGAGAGAGGGTTGTACCACAAATACAACAAAAAAATAAAAAACACAAAAAAATGAGTAGCCTCCTCGACTGTAGTGGCCCCCTCGGGCCTTGGGGAGGTGAATAATGTAAAAAAAAAAAAAAAAGCAACCGCTAACTAGAGTTGGAAGTTACTGGAAGAGAAAAGATGAAGATTGTAGAGCAAGATAACAATTGACAGACGACTAAAAAGATTGCAAATTATATAAATCAGGAAAGCAAGATGAAGGAAGCCAATTCCAAAGAACTGATGTTTGAGGAAAAAAGCTAAACGAATAAGAGTTTTTGGAGCACTTAGGAACAGTAACAGAAAAAGGATGAGACGATTAATTGATTAATTGAATGACGAGTAACACAAGAGTCAATTTTAGTAGATGGCACAAGAGACACTAGCTCTTTAGAGCAGTACCCATTATAGTATTTGTAGAAAAGAGAAAGAGAAGCATTATTACGGCGATGTAATAATGGTTGAAGGCTGGCTGAAAGAGCAGGTCCAACTATGTTCACAATGCATTTTTGCACCTTGTCTAAATGAGAAAGGACATCATTAGAAGATCAGCGCCCTAGATATGGTAACAGTATTCCATACAAGGCCAGATTTGAGATTTATAGAGATAGAGAATAGAATCCAGTGTAAGAAAGTGTCGAGCTCGATAAAGAGATGCAACTTTAGCAGATGCTAATTTTGCAACGGATTTGAGTATCTGGAAAAAAATTGAGTATCTAGAAGATTGTTAATGTAAATTAAAAAGAGTATAGGGCCAAGGATTGAACCTTGAGGATCCTCTGAGGTTATAGAATAAGAAGAAGAGTGCTGTCCATCAAGGACAACTTTTATACTACCAGGACTTAATTTATTTTTTTATAAGGTCCTGGACAAAATGTCAGACCAAAAGTTATTTTGGTCAGACATTGTCTGATCAAATTTTTGAAATAAAATTTAAACAAATAATTTTCACCAATATTTACATATATTCATATTTGTTTAGTTTAAAGGAACACAGGAAAAAGATAGTTCTTTAAATGTCGAGAGTAAAAAAGTACTGCAGATGGGTTTTTTTAGACTAGCTTCTAGCGTATCTGAGTTTTACGGAACCCAATTATCCAATCGAAATATGTTATGTTTTCCCAGTTTATTTTATTTTAGGCTAGTGAAGTTGTAGTTTTTTTTTTAATATTCAGAATTTTTATCATCGTAGATCTTTGTATTTTAAATGAAATAGTTTAAATTCAATACTGCGCATTTTTTTAGATAGACTTGAAATTTTATTGAGTTTTTTTCTCTCGAAAACCTTGTTAGTCTACATTGAATTGCATTACCGGTTTATAAAAGTGATGTAAATTTTTTTACTTAAAAAAATATAATATGCTAAGTGTCAATTTTGCGCATAAGCTCCACTTTTAGCGCCAAAAAGGTATTTATATGGCGTTCATGTAACTATTTTTATCAATAATAAAAACGGCAAGAAAACAAGTTTGTTATAGTAATATAGTATAATAATGTCTTTAATATACTAAATATTAAAATAAACATATTATTTTTAAACTTGATATAAAAAATTTAAACTTCGCTTTTACTTATTTAAAGGCGGTTAAATCAAATGCAATATAATATTTACGGGCTATTATTAAATTTAAAAATTCCACGCGCTGCATGTCATTAAAATTTGATCATCGAAAAAAATTTTATGAGTTCTACAGGTTATTACTTATCTACTTTTCAAAAAGGCACTCCTTCTTTGGCAGACAAGTTTTATAAAGCTAGAACTTTTTAATCTTTTATATATATATATATATATATATATATATATATATATATATATATATATATATATATATATATATATATATATATAATAAATAAAAAGAAAAAAAATACAAATAAAGATATAATTTAAAAAACGAAAACTAAATAAAGAATCGAAAAACTCGAGTAGGACCAGGATGCCACCGAGAAACCGCTCAAGCTAAAATAGAATGATTTGATTATAATGTTAATATTTAAACGTATATTTTCTTTATGCTTTTTTAAAAATATTCCATCGATGAGATCTCAGCCTCTAAAAAAACACATTTGTAAAATCTTTTATAATCAAATTTTTCAAACTGCTAGCTTTTCTTTGCTTTTAGGTGTCCACGGTGTTTGCAGCAATCAATCGAACATACTTTGACTTTTGCGATCGTTTTAAATAAGCAATAATTTTAAATTTAATAATATAACAATAAAACTGTTATAGAACATTCATTAAAACTACAATTAATAACAGCGCTTTTTTTGGGAATGAATGCCTCCATTATCAACATATTTTATAAGTTTGTCTAATAGTTTACATTAAGTTTAAATTTGTCAATTTCAAATCAACAAATAAAATTTTATTTTAAAGAATTAAAAATCTTGCCAGACAAAATGATACACTGTAGATATATCCAGATACACTGTAAGAAGAAAGTTTACGGAGAAGACCAGCATGCCAAATTTTATCAAATGCTTTAGAAATGTCAAGAGCGATGGCCTTAACCTCTCCACCTTTATCTAATGCACGATAAAACCTATCGTTTATTACTGTTACGAAACCAGCCGTGGAACGAGAAGATAAAAATCCAAATTGATGATCAGAAAGTAAGTTATTAGATTCTAGAGATAAAGTGTTTGTTAATTAAAGATTCAAAAACCTTGTTTATGATAGGAAGAAGACTAATGGGATGGTACTTAGACGAATCAGATTGCTCTCAAGAATTTTTTAAAATAGGGATAACAGATGCTGCTTTCCAGCAGGCTGGAAAACAAGATTCTGATAAGCACTTGTTGAATAGTTTTGAAAGAATAGACCACAGCTCTGGAGAACACTTCTGCAAGACTATAACACGTATGTTGTCCAGGCCACAAGCTGTAGAAGAGTACAAGCAGGAAATCACTTTAGATACAGAAGC